TTTCAAACGCAGAGAGCGTGTTGAAATGGTAATTGTTATAAGACAGCATCTGTGACTCCCACAAGCGTAGTTTGATCTGAAACGCTTTCAAATGGCTGTACAAATCATTTACTAACTGGCTTTGTTTTTGAAGTTTCAAATTTAAATCATTTAAATAGCCTGTAAGATCTACCAGAAATGCCAAGTCACATATTCATTTGGGTCACTTAATTCAGATAGTGGTTTATCTTTTATTTCATTAAGTCTGCTATCTTATTTCTAAGCTCGTAAAACCGTTTCAACATTTTTCTTTTGCTCTTTTTTATATTTCATCCAAAAACGCCTTGAACTGACGATGGTTAAGCCCTCGGCATCGAATAAAGCTTATGGTTTTTACTACCACATTCATAACATTCTGGAGTCGAATGGACTTGGAACACAAGTTCTGTTGGTGGATAATGCAATGAAGGACTATCAAATCATCTTTTTGTACATTTAATTATGTTGCTTTTTCATTCAAAATTCCGATGAAACCTTTACGTAAGCCGACCATAGAAGGTGCACCATTAGTGCATACTCCAGTTAATTTTGACCATAACAAGCCAAAACTTGTGAATACCTTTTGAACTTCAATAAAAATGTCCTCTCCTGTACTGGTTCCTTAAAATATATAAATAATATAGCCAGTTGAGCTGTGTCAGACAAATCGGTGCTCTCGTCTAATGCTATGGAAAATGATTCAAAACCAGCCATACGGTCAGTCAATGTTGTTTTTATATCATTAGCCATCATTTCTATACGTCGAACAACAGTTCGTCTTGACAAACTCTTCAAATTCATTTTTCTTTTCAGGACACAAAATACCGCAAACTTCTAACGTACCCTCCTTGTTAAATTCTCCTTCGGCAAATGGTTTTAATGACTTTGCCAATTTTGAGCTAAGTATAAAACTAGCTTTCACAACATTATCAAGTTGTGTTCTTTGTTTATGAAACATTTGTTGCTGTTTTTCCAAATTTGCGGTAAGCTTCTGGATTTTTTCTGTTCTTAATTGTCCTGTCAGTGAGTGCAGCGTAGCATGCTTAGTTGAGTTATGCCTCTTTATATTGAATTCTTTCATTACTGAAATGGATTCATTACACAGCAAACAAATAGGCTTACCATTGTGCAAGATAAAAAAGAATTCTTCAGTCCATTTTTCTTGAAACTGGCGACCCTCTGTATCTACTTTTCGTTTCTTTCCACCAGACATCATTTTTATTTACTTTTCGTTCAATAAACTTAATAACAAACTATAGTTAGTAACCACTCAAGATACACCGAAAGTAACAAAGCAAGTTGACGGCTCGAGCAGTTCGCTAGGATATCGCTTGTTCAACCTCGGTAGCTCAAATAGAACTGTACTAACGTTCGGGCCATCCCCCCGCTTATATAGGCAAAATGAAGGAATAATCTGGAATAAACTAGTTTAGAATAATTGAGAAGTAATAAATCTTTTGATGTGTCGCTCGTGAGGCGGCAAACCTCGATTATCAAAGTGTGAGGCGGCAAACCAACCACCAGGATTAGATGTTTGCCGCCTCACTGTCACTCCCATGAGTATAAATACCTAATGTAATATTTTTTAATTGGGTTTTTTCAAAATGTCTCGCAGGCCGGATCATATATTACAGCGGGACGGATCCGGCCCGCGGGCTGGTTGTTGCCCATATATGCACTAGGTATTACTACTCACTCTACCCTTCACTTTCATACACGGGCTGCCGCCGCCCGGTCGACTCGTGTCGTCTCGCGCTGTGCAATTTACACATGCGGGGAATTCCCCAAACTGCGGAAAATTTAAAGTTGATTGGGGATTTTTTAGGGTTTGGTATTATGCGGGGAAAATGCGTAGATTTTGAAAAACGATAGCCCAGGCCAAGTCAGAACCTTTTTTCAAGAAATGTAAATACTTATCTTAACATTTTTGTTATACTCTGTACAACATAGCTTGATCTTTTTGACAGATGGGTCTAGTGATGGGAAACAGAAAATATCTAGTATTGCAAAAAATAACGTTTTTATATAGGTTGTAACTATGAGATGGTGTGACTGTATGTATGTTTTAAACTATTCAAAATAAATTCATTCATTCATCAATCAACTTTATTGCACTAGATATATAAAAATATTGGGTAGGGTAGCGACGATGGGTTATATTATTAGATGTTATATTATTCATATAATATTGAGTTAAAATCAAGTTTCAAATATAAAGTAAAATTTTCTCTTTAAAACATAATTTTTAATCGGGAACAGAATCACAACCAAGATTTTCATCGTCGGAGTCGTTGTTGCTAAATCGATAAAAATGATTTTAATTAAGGCTACTTTGTAACCGATATTTGTAACAGTTACTGTCTGTTTTTTTGTGTCCATTTGTGTCCCATCCGACCGACCGATGTAGCATTGCACGAGCGTCCATTGTTTTCAGTTTTTCTGTTTAAATCTTACTTTGAAGCAATAAAAACCACTAAGATTTTCGGAAAATGATTGAATCTTTAATACTTTTGTGTTGTGTCTATTTTTAACAATTTTTAAAATTATTAAAATAAGAAAGTGATATGTTCGTCATTGCAAAGTTATGTCGATCGCAAATTTTTCATCTGTCAAAAAGATCAAGCTATGTTGTACAGAGTATAATGATTTTGCGTCAGTTTTTAAAAAGGTTACAAGATATAACAAAAAGAAACAAAAATAAATGTTAAAAAAGTTCAGGATCTGATTGACAATATACAGCTAACTTTTGGAAGTCACGCCAGTTTTAAACAATATTTCTGTGAAAAGTGGTGTACACAAGAGAATAAAGAACTGACAAAATCTTTCTTTTCAAATTTCCGCTGAGTTGTAAGTAGAAGGCCAAATACGCCATGTGCCAATTTAATTAAATATATTTAACAATATATTTAATTAAATTGGCACATGGCTTATTAGATCACTTATTATTTATAATAATTAAATATATTTAAAATAATAAGCGATCTTGACTACTTTTCATCAATTATAAAAATGAGAACAGCAATTTTACGATTGTGTCTACAAGAAACACTTGTAAGTTGAACCTTGCAGCTTATTCTTGTGTACCTACACGGGCGCATTGTCGTGCAAAAGGAGCACGCTTTTTGTAAGCTTCCCTCGCCTTTTTTCTTTAATAGCTTCTTTTAATTGATCTAGTAAAGAAGCGTAGTATTCTCCCGTTATGGAAACACCACATACCTTATAATCGATCAAAAGGATACCTCCTGTATCTCAAAAGATCGTCGCCCATGATCTTTCCGGCTGATTGAGACACCTTATACTTCTGAGGAGGGTGTGTGCCTTTTTTATGTCACTGCATCGACTCTTGCTTCCACTCAGATTCATGATGATGAACCCAAGTTTTATCGCCAGTTACAATGCGGGCCATAACTTCCTCCCTTTGCTCTCCACAGCGGTCCAAAAACTCGCGACAACATTCGACGCGCTCGTGTTTTTGATGCGCAGAAAGCATTCTCGACTCGACTTTAGTTATGCTAAGGTGTTGATGTAAGATTTTTAAAATTGTTGTTTCTGATATTCCAACTAATGCTGCAAGTTGTTTTTCTTTAGCCAGGCATCTTCCAATACAAGTTTTTAAATTTTTTCGATTATTTCTGGCGTGGTAGCCTCAATCGGCCGTCAAGGTCGGGGGTCGTTTTCAATGGGACTCCATCCCTTTTTTATAAATCATGGTTTTCTCAGAAGCGGAGTCCCCATAAACAGCCGACATCTCTTGAAAAATGGTTTAGGTATATTTTCTTGTCTACTGAGAAACTTAATGACGGCGCCATATTAAAGGAGAATGCCTGATCGTGCCCCACCTTGTACAAAAAGGTAAAAATATGAAAAATAATAATATGAATTTAGAAATTTTTTGTGATAAATCGTTATTTTGTACAACTTGCGGAAAATATTATTTAAAAGAAAAAGGAATTCAACGATTAATATTTCCAGTCTTTAACATCTGAGTTTCTTTGTACGAATAAGTACATACATACGCATAAAGTATCAAACAATGCATATTTCTATTAAAATATATATATTGTCATATAAAAATGTTACTTATCAATTTTTATTTTAAATTATTATTACAAGTCAACAAGAATCATGAATTGCCTTAGATAATTATTGAATAACAATCATAGATTTTCGTGCATTTTGTGAAATGATACACGCACGTCATTGTTTCAATATCGTAAGTGCGTATGTCAAACTAATGTCGAATATTTTCACACATTGACAAAATTGTGCTTGTGAAATGTATTGATTATGATTATATCACATTTTTACTTGTGCTGATTCCCGCTTTCTTTATAGTTGCACTTTTTCCTGCTTTTGCTGACGACTTATGCTCTTATTAATATACGGACTCGAACACGCTTACTTATTGGACTTACTGCTAATTACTATGGACATTCTGATAATTGCATCCACGATGTTGAGGTGCACTAATTGTCACCATTGCGTCGATAGGATGCAGGGGTATTTTGTGTCCTCATTTCGATTTACAATCTTAATTCTTCTTTCACCATGGAGATCTTTGCAACAGATGTATTTAGTTTTATAGCTTTGTTATATAGTTGATAATTTATGGTGCTGCCGTTGTCGTAAAATTAGTTACTACTCTGTAAATATTTACATCTTCAGACACATGTCATAATAATAAGTATATCTTGAAGAATCATTTTGTAAATAATATAACTCGTTTACATGACTAGGACTTAGATTTTATGAAAACCAGGTGGTGCTAGTCTTATTGTAAGGACCTTTTACATCCTATATAAGAGAACCCTTTTTCCAATGTTACTGATCATTATATTATCATGCTCCTTAAACCATTTAAGGGAATTGATGACATACATATACATGAACTTTGTGTAATTTCAGTTATTTCTTAAATTGATTTTTGGAATTTCTTATGTTTTTTTATAAATTTGCGAAATAATTGTATACGTTTATTATAGGACGAGCCTCAACTGGATGAGAATGGCGACGAAGTGCCCGAGGGATTAGAAGAAAGGGCGCAACAGACACGACGCAGGTATATTATCGTTATTTTTCTCTACCATGACGAAGGTTCTTTCTTTCAAAATATCGATGGATGCAGATGGTTCAGGATCGTGTTATGATGTATACCTTGGGCGAGGCCTATATTCTTCGATGACAACTTTTAATTTTATTAACCGATGTTGATTTGGTTAGTACAGTAAAGTTACAGCCTATATATGTATCGTACCAGGGCACAGACCTCCTCTCATAACTGAGTTGGTTTTAGGGCAAAGAAATGTGCGCCGCGCTGCCTCAATGCGTGTTGGTCGACTTAACATGTCTTCGAATTTTTTAAAAATAATCAGACTTTTTTATAGAATAAGGGTGACAAACCAACAGTCCACCTGATGGTAATTGGTTGCCGTAACCCATAGATACCTTAATGGGTAGTTGGATTTTTTTTAAAACATTGTAACTTGTGAACACGGACATCACAACGTGTATCTTAATTTCTAAATTGAAAGAGAGAAAATACGTTTATTTTAATTTAGTTAAAGCTTTTATTTCACTTGTTTACTGTTTTCTGCTCTTGTATATGTATTTCTATACTTTTTTTAATTGAAATGTATTTATTTATTATGTTATGTATGTAAAAAATAAAAAAATAACGTAAGAGTATTCATTATTGTATGTATCTTGTTAAGTATAATGTACACAAATGCCTAAGCCATTGCACATGTACACTATTACATACATATTTATAATAAAAAATATAATAAAAGTATCAATTACCTAAATTAAATTTAAAAGTGAAATGAATAAATGGAATGGAAAAGTATGGAAGATACGGTGTATAAATAACAAGGGTAGAAAAATAGTAGACAAAAATGAATGCGTCTAGGAATAGCTTATATATATAATGAGTTTAATTATTTTTCTATGATTTTTCAAATAAAAATGTATTTTATTTATAACCACAGAAATAACATACACTTTTAGGAATATCAAATGACGAAAATAGTATGAATATAGTAAATGGCAACACTTCAATAGTGTAAAATGATTAAAATTTTACATTATTTGAGTGATGCCATTTACTATATTCATACTATTTTCGTATACACTTTGTAAGACGACACAACACACAAACACAAAATACTTTTATAGGAAGTTATTATTAGTAATAACTATGCTATCAGTCAGTAATAATAAAAATAAAAGTGATATGGTCGAAAATAAGTCTCTTACAAAGAACTTCCTGCAATAATACATTATCTTAATCATAGTACTATGTAACAATTCCATTTAATGTTATGGCAACAACATGTTGTAGCTAGACAACAAAATGTCACTGTATGGCACAAAGGCTCGGAAGAAATTCCAGAAATATACATTTCTAGTATGCAAATATTTAATAGAGATACAATAATCTAAAATGTCTCACTATGTATGTTTACATTATGTTAAAAATGTATTAAGCTAACATCAAACAACCACAGGACGCATGACTTTTTCCAAGTGACATAAGACAACCTCAAAAGGACAAAATTCTTTGACAAAGTTACTCGGGGACTAACGCTTAACATTTTAAGATATTTTTGATATATAGACTCTACCGTTTCTTCTCAACTAAATTTATGTATGAAAGGCTGCCATTGTTTTTTACTATATTTTATAGGAAAATATAAACTGTGACTTTTGAATATTTAGAAAGTAATTAATTTTTATTAACAGAGCAATGAGGGCTCTCCGGGCCCGCCAGTCGCGCCCCCGCGATCTTGGCGTCTTAATCGAGGAATTGGAAGTGTTACACATGCAGTTCACTCCGCACAGGGTGACGTTCATCAATATGCTGCATGCAGTCAATCAAGCCGATGTAAGTATAATCTTTAAGTATTTAGGTAGTGTATACAATAATGTTTTTTTTATATGATCGGGAGACAAACGAGCACACAGTCCACCTAATGGTAAGTGGTTACTGTGACCCATAGACATCTACATCTATCCTCAATAAAGACTCAAGATGTAGATGCGTTGTCACCCGTGAGGACTAAGATAGAATACCTCTTTTCCAGTAAAAAGGGTCTCCGGTTGTCTACACTCACCATACGAAACACAGCAGCGTTAAGCTGCTATTTTACGCTGGTTTTCTGTCTCGATAAAAGGAATTATCATCTAAAAGTTAAATTAATAAAAAGAAGTAAACGATGATTAGATATTTGATGTAATCCCCTGTTAGATGAACGATGCACTATTCCTTTTTTTTTTAGAATGAGGGTGACAGGCGAGCACACAGTCCACATGATGGTATGTGGATACTGTGGCCCATACACATCTATCCTCACTCCTCAGTTAGGAATGAAATGCACATGCCTTGTCATCCCTAGCTGCAGCGTGGCCCTGCCACGTATAAATTATCCAAAAAATTGTTTCACATAAGGGTATTGTTTCCAGCCTCCTGATTACTCCGATGAAGAGAGACAGAGCCATCAGCGCACGATTGATATGACGTCGGATATTATGCACAGTTTTGCCCACGCTTATCACGCTATAAGCGACATTACCTTCCACATCGGCCAGCGTAACCCACGTCTCACTTCTGAAGCGGCTGTCATGCGTCATCCTATACCAATGCAGGTATGTTTTTAGTTTGTTCATTTCTCGTTAGACTGACACACAGGCGCAAAGTTAGCCAGCCTTTAGGTTTTCTATAGGATGCATTTCGGAAAGTGTGCGAAGAAATTGCATCACCTAATTCCTCCCTCTCCCTTTCACCATCAGGCAACTAGAGGCTCTGTCAGTTTCCACCCTTTCCTTGTCGACTTACCACGCATTCGAACCAAACGGTTTGTTACATCGCTGGTCATGCGTACAGCAAAGGAGTGGAATATGTTGCCAGCATCTGAATTCCATCTATCCGATTGCAATGTGGGTGTTTTAAAGGCAAGAGTGAGAAGAATGCTTTACTTAAGTTAGTTAGTTACTTATTTCACACAACTCATTACTAAGCCACTGTCCTATGGAGCCGTCCCTTGTATGTGTCACATTTTTTGCTATTTACAAACATGCAACACGCGACTTCATTATTAATGAAAGAGTGGCAATGAGAAGTGCTATTAATTTCAAACATTAACCAGTATATACTGATCTTGCATTAGTAGGCAGTCACTAGTACTGGGAGGTCTACTTACACTAAACGATTTTTTAAGGTCATTGGCATTATACGCGAAAAAATCGAAAACTGCGAAGTTGTGGTCGGGTCACTAATCAAATAATAAATCTGTAACTATGGTGTCAGCAACTAAGTACCTAATTATCTAGATCTACCTATAAATAATAATATATTACCTTTCGGTATCCTTAGGAACAGTAATGAATGAAAAGACGACATTTCTATTGTTATTTAAGCACCCGTATGCTATGCACCTTTTGGCTTTTTGAGAGGCCATACGTGAATAAAAAAATAAATATCAAAAGTGCCTTAATACTTATTAAAAAAAAAAAATTATGTTAACGTAAGGCGCGCGTTAGCTCGAGCGGGCGCGTGACAACCTCACAGAATTAGCCCCGCATGCGGGGCTGCGTAGCGTAGGTATATTTTCATGCTTAAAGCGCGGAGTGAGACAGGCCTGCCATAACAAGGATTGTTCTTGTTCACGTGTTCTTTGGTTTGTCTTAACATTGTTATTTATTTTTAAACAAAAGTTTTAGCGACATTCTGTATTGCAATGCGCTGTCATATGCAATGTTAAGTCTGTATAGCGTGTGTTTCATTACACTGAAATACTCGATAAATTAAATAATCAAATAGATAACTAGCGATGTAGTAGGCGAGTATTCGACATCCTCGGACACCGAAACAAATTGATTTTATATAAAAAAATATTTTAAAGCGCAAAATTATTATTGTTTTATTTTCTTCTAAAGGCTAAATACGTTTAAGTAAAGTAAGTTATCGGAGTCAGACCAAGCATAATAAATAAATTGTTACGTGCTACTCATCCGAGAAATGAACGTATTCGTTTCTTCACAGTAAGGTGAGGTCCTTAATAATCACATATGTCGTAGGTCGATTGCCCGCAGTCGCTTCCTGAAGTAGGGTTCACTTTCGTGTTCCCGAAGTAATTAATTCTCGATCCCCGGTTTAAGCATTTATACCCAATAAAAGGAATGTATAAAATTATAGATCAACAGGATTTCTGCATGAATACATAAGGTTGCGTTTTGCTTGCATCAATGGTTTGAGTGTTGCCTATTTTATGCTTACACATTTTATTAACTTGATAGAGGCCATCGTCGGGAATGTTTTCTTGCAACGACAATGCACCACGTAACTAGCTATTGTAACAACATATTTTTTTTATTGTCATTCACTTTTTATTACTTAGCAATATATTACAGTTTTGTACGTTATCTAAAAATGGTTTTGGACCACTGACAGTTGGAACAAAGGTCATTGTATGAAAGAACACGGCGGTCACGGCCCATACATGCTGTGACCTGGCTATAAAATATCGCGAACATGACTAGTGTATAGATTAATCCGTTCCTTTAGGCACAATCTAAATCCTAAATTGAAAATATATTATTTAAAAGCCGAGGATTATAGAACATTACACTTATGTATTTCATCACTTTTGAGGTTATGATGTAGCCATGACTGCAGCTATGACCACAACCTCAGCTAAAACAATTGATATGAGTTTAAATAAGTCAAGTCAACGGCTAAAACCACAAAAATGAATCAGTTATATTCATAATAACCTCTCTAATCTTTTCAGTGCTAAGTATCTAAGACGCAGGTGCTTTGACTTTTGCTCACGCTTTGACAGCTCTCGTATCATAATACCACAGACTGCATAGAGACACTCATAATACGTTCCGTTCTAAGTATTAGTGCATTCTAGTTAGTAACAAATTAACCGAATCAGATCAGGACGTTGCAATGGTTTTTGAGAAATATTTTACTGATATTCCGATATTAACCACTAAGTCACTGAATTCTTCTCCTGCGGTCGCCCAATCATTACTTAAACAAAATGTAAATGCGTGTACAAAGAATTTTGCATTTCATAAAGTTTCATCAAAAGATATTGTAAAATATTTTAAAACTATTGATGTTAAGAAAACTGCGGATCTGTGGGAGATTTCCGTTAAAGTTATTGCGTCTATAATAGATACAATCGCGCCTCATTTAGCTATTATTTTTAATACTAGTATCGAATCTGTTGTGTTTCCTGATTTAATGAAGTATAGTAAAGTAATACCTTTATTTAAATCTGGTAGTACATTAGACCCCGCCAATTTTAGACCTATTTCTGTACTACCAACACTTGGTAAGATTTTTGAAAAAATTATTCTTGATCAAATGTAATATAAATAATTTACTTCATAAAAATCAATTTGGTTTCACAACGGGTCGCTCGACAAATGATGCCGGTGTTGAGCTGATTAAATATATATTTAATGCATGGGAGAATTCACAGGATGCTTTGGGTATATTTTGTGACCTATCCAAAGCCTTCGATTGTGTTCACCATGAAACATTAATCAGGAAACTTCAACACTACGGTGTAAGAAGTGATGCTCTTAAATTAATTATTTCATATTTAAGTAAGAGAACGCAATAAGTTGTCATTAACAGTATGAGTTCTTCCGGGTCGATGGTACAAATGAGCGTGCCTCAAGGCTCAATTCTCGGCCCCTTTCTCTTTCTTGTATACATTAATGACTTACCTTACATAGTAGGAGATAACCATGATATTACAATTGCTTAAATATGACGAAGTAAATAATGCTATATCTAAATTAGTAAATTGGTTCAATGTTAATAATTTGCATTTAAAAGGCACTAAAACGAAATGTATGAAATTTATGACTCCAAATGTTAAACAATTAAATACTAATGTAATTTTAAATGGGGAGAAACTGAGTCTTGTAGATACCACCATTTTTCTTGGAATCACACTAGACGCGATGCTTCAATGGAGCCCCCATATATCCAAACTAGCAAGCAGACTTAGTTCTGCAGCATATGCCGTAAAAAAGATTAGAAGTCTTAACTAGTGTTGAAACAGCTAGACTAGTTTACTTTAGCTATTTCCATAGCATAATGTCGTATAGTATTTTGCTATGGGGACACGCAGCTGACACTGAAATTATATTTGTTTTACAGAAGAGGGCCATAAGAGCAATTTATGATTTAGAGCCTAAAGAGTCGCTGCGACAAAAATTTAAGGAAATTAATATATTAACTTTGGCCTCTCAATACATTTATGAAAATGTAATGTACTTACATAAAAATAAAAGTAGTTTTACAAAAATAAGTGATATTCATTCTGTAAATACTAGGAATAGACACAAGCTAGTAGTACCAGTTACTCGACTCCATCGAGTCAGTAATTCATTCTTGAGGCGATGTATACGCTTTTACAACAAAATTCCAGAAAATATACAAAATTTGACCTGCTCAAAGTTCAAAAACTTTATTAAACTAAGTTTGTATAAAAAGGGTTATTATAATATTAATGAATTTATAGATGATAATAACCCCTGGAAATGAGGTGATCGCTACCAAGCTATTTGTGTATTAATTTGTGTAACATACATGATTGTAAGCTGTTATTTAAAAAAAAGTCCCGCTGGGTTTCTTGCTGGTTCTTCCCAGGACATAGGTTTTTTTTCGAACCAGTGGTAATCATACAAAAGAGTGACTTTCAATAAGTATTATTTATAATCTATATTGAATAAAAAAGTTTCTTTTCTGTTCTGTTCTGTTCTATATTCTATATTTACTGTCAACCTATCATTTGCAACTTATTTCGGAATACTTTCCATATCCCCATCTAAAAATGATATTATTGATAATACTAAGTCAAAACCATGTTCACCTTATTACACTCACCATTTACATGGTTTTAGGTGCATCCATGTGTGCATCAATCAGTAAATTTTTACGGGCTGATAAAGAAAAAAGATGTATAAGAGACTGCGTGTCAAGAAGTTGAGTATGGATTCAGCTTCGCTTAAAATGTACGCAGCTCTTCGTCTTTCTTTCTTCGTTGGCCTTAGCAAGTATCAAGTTTGATATAATATATAAAATATAGCGGAAAACTAATTTGAGCATGCCAAAAATTTAAATACGTCCTTAAGTTGCTCATTTACTAATTTTAATTTTAAGTAATTTTAATTGTATTCTGCGAGAGCGTGGTCCTTCCCCGGTCGAGCCTACCCATTCGTGCTACAACTATAATTTAACTGCAGTGGGGCTTCTATACATTTTTTTGGGCATGTGGCATTATAATAGTTTCGTGTGTAGTTGATAATTTTAAGTATTTGACGTTGGTGTTGATGTGTAAAAGATTAACTAAACATTATACGAATTTTCTGGGCATTTTCTCCCTTCAACTGTTGTCACCCATATGACGAGATGCAGCAATGGTTAGATTGATACTATCTTTATTGATATGTATTCTTTATTCGCAGGCGCACATCAACGTAGTGCAGACGAACCGTCGTCCGCAACAATCGTCACAATCGCAGTCGCAAGGGAACAACGCTTCCGCAACCGCGACCTCAGCAGCTCCCGCAACTGCTCCCGCTTCCGCTCCCGCTTCCGCTCCCGCTCCCGCTCCCGCTTCCGCTCCCGCTTCCGCTCCCGCTTCTGCTACTGCGAACGGTAACGGCTCCACCGAGCCGGCCCAAGAGAGTCACGCCGAAAACGCCCAAACGCCGCAAGGCAACGCTCAAGTGGGTAGGAACACAATGCAACCGACTGTCAATATAAACATACAGCCAAACCCTGTTACCTACCAAGTAGAGATAGAGACCAGGGTGCCGCTACCGTTTGCGTTAGAAACCGCTCTCTTAAACAATCTGAATGCAATGTCGCCGCCGGGTATGCACGAGCATGGTCAACACGTCCAACAGGGCCAACGAGCCCAACAGGGGCAACAAGCCCAACAGGGCCAACAAGCCCAACAGGGCCAACAAGCCCAACAGGGCCAACAAGCCCAACAGGGGCAAACGGGCCAACAGGGGCAACCGGGCCCACAAGGGCAACCCGACCAACAGGGCCAACAAGGTCAACCGGGCCAACAGGGCCAACAGGGCCAAGAAGACCAGAACCAGGCCAATCGACGCCAAGTATTATTCGGTAAGACACTTTTTTGTATTTAAGAAGTTGCAAGACGGTGGGAATTTCGAAGCTTCGGAGATTTCGAAGGTCAATTTTTTTGTAGTTGCTTGTTCATTTGCCAGTACTACCTGTGCAGATAAAGAATGGGATGAAAATGACGTCGCCTCTATTCACCTCTCGCTTGCACACTATCGCTATATACACTCACACCAGCCGGTAAAGACTGCCAAAGAACTACGTTGCGAAATGCGTTTTTCGAACGTTCTATATATTCAGTCCAATTTCTTATTGGAATCAATGTTTTATCAAAATGCCATAAACCGCATATAATAATTCAGTAAAGTTTCGCTAATTTGTGAGCTACGACGCATCTTGACAGTTTCCTTTACTTATACAATTATTGTTGATTTTCTTGGTTTGGTATTGAGACTGACATGAGACACCATTTTTAAAATTTTCGTTTATCTATCTGTTCGGGCTTATCTCCGGAATAGTTAAACCGATTATAATAAAACTTTACGGACAAATAGACAGTAGTACCAGGAATCATCCAGACTAAATATATTCCCAAAAAATTTAGAAAGAACATCGGTCTAATATGACCTGACCAAAATATGAAACGACCACCAATAATTGATACGTCAAAAAATAGTGACTTACGTTATAACGATATACCGTTATTAACAGGTTTTCGCTATTAGTATTGTGTATGTAACCGGTACGAACTTGATGAGCCCTCCTTTTCTAATCTCATTCTTTATCCGTACGGACTGTAGTTGTAGTTTTAATAAGTTTTTAATTAGAAAATATTTGGGGTGTCTCTCTAAAAATATTTTATTTAAATCGTATCTTTGGATTCATATTCCTGGGGTAATTCCTTTTTTTATTTTCAAGTATTCCCACCACTTTTAACATAGGTTTTGTAAAATTTTTAATTTAAATATATTATTATTTTAATTTAAATATATTACTATTTTGTTTTGATTTGCTTTATAAGCACTACGTCTTTATGTTGTTTCCATGCTTTTGTAAATGGCTTCTGTGATATTTTGCAATCTGTATGTTTGTGATTATATTCAGTAAAGATGACTTTATCACCATAAACAAAAATTTATATTCTAATTTAATAGTTGTGTTGTTTGCGTGATCATAGATTTGTGTTCGGTTTTACAAAAGATTTAGGGTATTAGCCCTTTAATATTTTATTTTTTATTATATTGTATCGGAAAGTGCTCTGTATCCATATATACTCTATATCTATATAGATTATATATGGATACTGATAGGAAAAATATATGATTATAGCGCATAAATTTAAATACTTATCCTACTCATCCATTACTAATTGAAAGGCTTGTCATTTTTAACAGATACTAAATCTTAAAAAAAAGTATCAATTCAACTGTGAATTTCTTTGTGTTATAACACAGTATTTCTGACGTTTCCACATTGATTTTTTGTCGATTCACAAAGTACTTTCGCAAACAGTGATAACCCACGCTTGGCGGAACAATATGACCTAATGGTAAGGGGGTTCCAAACAAACATTGACGCTCGCACCATTTGTTTAATTTGATTTTAGTTTTTTTTTTTTACTAAATGTATATCATAATAACTATAACTTGTTATCATGATACATACTTGTTTCATGATAACAAGTTATAGCTATAGTTAATTGATAATATGGCACTGAAACTAGCGTGTGATGCACTAAAATCGATGACTATAGATAGGGTAGACAGGCCCTTTAGAGCCTAGCATATTAATAATGTTGCATATGATATAGTTTTCATATATCCTTCTTCAGCTGTCTTAACACAGACAATTCTTATTGTTTCTTTATTAGTTTCTCGTGATGAAATGTGTAACATATTTTATGAATGGTAAATTTTAGATTGTTTTAGGTTTTTTATAATATCCAATTTTATTTAATGATTTCTTATATTTACGCGAACACTACACATTGAATAAAACTATTTTTACGGATTTTATCGCGTTTAATTAACTTATTTTATATTCCCGACGTTTCGGTTGCTTTCCAGCAACCGCGGTCACGGGGGACTGAGGTGATTGACGTCCCGATGTCAAAGTTAACCCGGAGTACCTCTGCGTAGATCGGACCAAAATTAATAATTAAAAAGCTGAAGGTACTCCGGGTTAACTTTGACATCGGGACGTCAATCACCTCAGTCCCCCGTGACCACGGTTGCTGGAAAGCAACCGAAACGTCGGGAATAATATAAAATAAGTTAATTAAACGCGATAAAATACGTAAAAATAGTTTTATTCAATATCCAATTTTATTGTAATTTCTAAATTAGTCCACTTTTGTCCTAGACTTCGAGAATTTATTCCGTGGGCTGGGCCAAGCCGGCACTCTCGGTGGCGTGGAAGTTGTTATGAGTATGGAGGAAATTCCTCAGGCTGGAGCTGGGGCCCTTGGCAATCTTGCCAACTTGGCCACCACAGCGGCACTCAACAACCAGGCCGTACACCAGGGTGAAGGCGGAGGTAATGCCGTGCCTGTGCTTGGAGCTGAGAGTTAGTGTGATTTAATTAAGTACTTATTGACCTTTTTTTAAATTTTATACTGTCTCACTAAAAGACATTAACTTGATGTGGTGTTTGTGAAATATTGTCGAAAGAAGTAAATTTGATATAAACTTACTAATGTATATTAAAATATTAACAAATGTAAATTATCAGTTTCTAGCGGATTCAGACACATAGCTTAAAAATAAAATTATACTTAATTATTTATTAATTACTAATACTTGCACAGATACGAGTATATACTAAGCTTAATAATATAACACTATATTTGTTTTGGCAACAATGGGTTAACAAAATCTAATTGCGACATCATAGTAAATATTAATATTTTTGAATCCACCGATGTTTTCGGTCGGAGAATGAAAAAAAGCTAATGTATTTATAAGCTGTGAGGTATTCCATTATATTGCTCAGAGGTGATTGCACCTGTCTGCCGTTGTTCGAATTGGGTTGCGGGTGTCCACGGCCTTGCATTAGCCAATTACGATGAGAACAATTATTAGCTCGTTTGTCACTTTAATATTCAAAAGATTCTGTTTCGCTATAACACTCTGGCATATAGTAGTGTAACATCAGGTTAATTGTTTTTAATATTTAATTTCATAATTCAATTATAGCTCGTATTTAAATACCATTTTATTTTAAATTTTTTAATGTGGTAGAGCCACGTGTCAGTTATATCATGGTTGCAGCAAGTATTGGTCAGCTCGACCAGGGGAGGACCACGCAGCTTAATGCTGCTGTGTTTAGTATGGTGAGTGTAGAGTGATAGAAACCTTTTAATTGGTAACGAGTCATTCTGTTTAAGCCTCCAGAAGTGACACCGTATCTACATTTTGATTGTTAATTGAGGATAGATGTATGTGTCTATTGGCCACAGCATCCACTTACTATCGGTGGTCTGTGTGTGATTCTATTAAAAAAATATATCATAACCAAATCTAATGCTAAAAAGTGATTATTCTCTTTGTGTTCGAATGAACAATTAATACATTATTTTTAATACCTTTTCCTCTCAGGCCCGATATTTTATTGGATCAACTTAGTCAGACCTATGGTCAAGCCAAAGAGTATAGTAAGTCAGGACAAGGCAATATTTTTTTAAATGAAGGTAAATAACTTAGAGTGATTACTACGTTCTTATTCAAAAATAAAAAAGAAATATCAACCAAGTTGGATATCTACTTGGAACATTAGAACGACTTCTAACGTGACTTTAAATATGCATTTCAGATTTAGTATTAGGTTTTATTTCGGCAGTCGATTTTTTATTACCTTTCTTACCTAAGCTACGTGGCTATGTTATAAGTACCATTCTAATTAATATTTTTGATATATACAAATTTCATCTGTACTAGCCTATTAGTCGGTGTATCGTTCCAATACTCATTTTGTGTGGATAAATCAGTGACGGGAGTAACGGAGAAAATATTCCGGTGGCGGCGCGAAGGATAACGTTATTTGGGAACGTATTTATTCATTGTGACTTTTAGGCTGATCACGGTGAGTTTTTCACCGTGATGTTATTTATCACTCATGTCTAGAGACGACACAGGGAAATAAATCAGAAGATGGGTCCCCGTCTTCTTAATAACGACTAAAAATAAAAAATAAAAACTGCGCGTACCAAGCGTGGTAACTATGACAAATATACCCTCTATGGGGCAATATATGGGGAGGAAGGCTTATATTCAGCAATGGTTTTTATAGGCTGTAACGGTGTTTGTTGTAATAGTGATAAGAAAAAAAATTGTAGGAAAAAAGAAGTACATTTTTTTTTAATTTAATCTCGGTGGAACGCGGATGCTCTGTGCGATGTTTAGGGCGACGTTGCCAAGGTGGGCGATATTTGTGGCAGTAAAATTTTGTGCTCCTTTATTTCCTTTATTTCTTTTTTATTTGTGTCTGTAAATAAATAGCAGTGGAAGGAAACTGTAACGAGCAGGAGGGGGTAGTTTTAATATTTGATAAAATATTTTTGTGTGTAAAAAAGTCATCAAATATCAAAAATCAAACAATTTAATAAACAAAAGTTGTGTAAGCAAGTTCAATGGTTAAAACAGTATTAAATAATAAAACCAAACGAGTTTACTGAAAAGAAAAAAAAACCCCAAATATTATATGTCACTTCTACAACTAAGGCCCTAATTCCCATTTTATGTTAAAACCCCATATCTATATGTTAAAATCAAATAACTACTATGAAAAAAGAAACAAGGACATAGAAACAGTCGATTTTTACAAAGAAAATAAATATATAGTATAATTATATCGATATATTCAGTAGGAGCCTCTTAAGATGACCTTATCACAAAAATTGATAAGGGCGTGCTTCGATGGTTTGAGCACGCTGAGCGAATTAGTGAAGACCGAATGGTGAAGAAAATATATAGCGCGAAAGTTAATATTAAAAGGTGTCGAGGTAGACCGAGACTAACTTTCGAAGACCATGTGAGCAAATTGCTCGAAGAGGGGAGGGTCAAGAGTACTCGGATACCTAGACGTGCATGTATGAAGAAGATAATGCATCTGAAAGAAGCGAAAGAGGTATGTAAGGATCACTTGGCGATCTGTTCTTTCTTGCTACCCCGTCAGGGATTGTGCGTGAAGAGCCTCTAAAAATAAAAAAAATATTCAATCATAAGCATATACAGTCGATTTTAGTTCAGATAACCAAGAGCGAGGAAGGAAAAAACCAAGTAAATAAGAGTTTGATCATAATTCGTGAGTTATTATTTTAAAGATTTGTACAATTATCCACAAATGTTCATTTTGAAAAAAGTCTGTCATTTATGTAAACAATCAACCATAAGTCTGTACATGTATGTAAACAAACGACAGGTCTGTGCATGATAAACGCTTAAAATTATCGAGAGTAGGGAAGTCCAGACTTCAAATTATTGAATGTTGGCGGTCAAGATACTATTCTTTCAACTTAAAATTACCGAGGGGACCAATTAATATTCATTCAGTTTAGTTATTTTTGTTGAAAACAACTTCGCCATAATATTCACTAAATATCGAAATTATAATATACTACGTAATTTTCACACTTTGTGAAGTATGAAAATTAGTGTTTATTACATGATTTATAGCGATAACTAACATTTTATATATAACTTCCTGTTACTTCTGACTACTTTACATCATACGTGAACAACACAGTCTTTAAAGTACAAATTTTATAAAGTGTATCAAATTGTTACGAAATAAAATATAAGCAAATAACTTTAAATTATGTGTAAATTACTTACCTTCTATATAAAAAACTAACAACAAATTTTCTTTTGTATGCACTTAATTTTTTTAAATTTATAGGTGGCTCTTACACTCGCGAAAGGAATAGACTGAAGTATATAAACGCGACGCGTAGGTAGTGGTAGTAAGTAGGTGTCGCTAGTGACATACGTAACATCAGCTCTCGAGTTTTTTATAATTTAAAATTATTAATAATACAAAAGTTAATAAAAAAGTGTGTTCAAATTAACAAGTAATCAGTAAATAAGTGCGATTAATGTTATCTTCGTCAACAACCTGCGATTTAAGTGGAAATACGGAATTCAAAACCATCACATACAACGACCGTTACGTCAAATTTGAAACAAAGAAAGTTGGAGACAGAAACTATATTTAAACCTAACAAGTAGTAAGTAAAGTATCGGAAACAAAAGTAAGTAAAATAAAACGTAAATAAAACACAATTATTAGAGATATTAACGTATAAAATTGACATTAAATGTCATTAAACAAAGAACAGCTGACCAACAATTAAAATATATAGTAACACATTAACGGTTTGAATATACAGTCTACAACTTTATTTGAAATTGAAAATGGATAATATTACTATCCGAAAGAAAACACTCTCTAAACAAATGTCTGAATCAAATCTACAAGAAATATTAAATGATTCCTTTTTAAGTTTATCCAGCTCAAGTTACACGGATTTATCTACAAAGACAAGTCAACATATATCTACTCCAAATACTTCAATAGTGTTTAATGAGAATCAAGAGATAAACAAATTACAAACCGAATTAATATCCGCACAAGAATCTATCCATAACCTAACAAAACAATGTTATAATCTTAGACAGACCTTACACGAAAGTGAGAAAAAAGTGCAGAATTTGATTAGTCTAATATTAAATACTAAATCAGATAAAACATTAACAGGAACAACATTGAACAAAACGCCTATAAAACAGACAATAACAAATATAAGTCTTAAAACACCACGGCACTCACCTTTAAAATACTAAATATATTTATTCACAACACTTATCCTAAAATTAAACAGAAAACATTTACTAACTTACAAAAAAAACACAATTCTCAAAACTTTATTATAGATAATATGGGTTTGGACAAAAATACTGTGAACTACAACATTACTAAGTCACTAATATTAAATAAAGAATGTGACGGTACCGACAAAAATAAAATTATTACTAATTGTCAACAAACCATAACAGATGTCAGCACAAAGGTAATAAAACGTAAAATTATAATTATGGGTGATGAACGCGTTAGAAATTTGTCTTTAGGTATGCTGGAAAAACGAAAAAATAAGTGGAATGACTCTTATGAAATATTTGGCTTGACAAAACCGCATGCTTCTTCCAGCGAAATATTAAGCAGTTGTGAAAGTTTTATACAATCTATGAATCATGAAGATATATTAATATTGGGCTTAGGTTCCAACGACAAAAATCCATATCAACTTATTTCAGGTTTACTAGACTTAATGGGTAAATTAAAAAATAACAAAGTATTTATTCTAAATGTTAGATATAACCGTTGCCTAAATGAAAAATTATTAAACGCACAAATAAAGCTATTTTTAAGAGGCTATAAAAATTGTTCATATATTGATATTGACGAAGATTACAAATATTATAATTCAAGAATTAATTATATTGAAAATTTAATAAATAAAATAAACATAGAAATTGACAGTATCGAATACTCGAATACATTTTTAAATA